GGAAATCTTTTTTTTTTTCAATAAAAAAATTATATTTAAAAAAAAAAAAACCCAAAAACAAGATTATCCTTTTGTGGGCTGGAGAGAGGGCTCAGAGGTTAAGAGCACTGGCTGCTCTTCCAGATGTCCTGAGTTCAATTTCCAGCAGCCATATGGTGGCTCACAACAAGCTGCAATGAGATCTGGCGCTGTCTCCTGGCAAGTATATAATAAATAAATAAATTAATTAATTAATTAATTAATTTTTTAAAATGTTCAAAAAAGATTATCTTTTTGTATAAAATTCATGCTGAGAAAAAAAATTGAATATCTGGCACATGCTTGTAATCCCAGTACTCAGAAGGCTGAGGCAAGAAGATTGCCATGACTATCATGGGTGCTGGGAATCGAACCCAGGTCTTCTGCAAAAGCAAGCAGTGCTCTCAGCCACGAAGACATCTCTCCAGGCCCATTTTCTTTACCGACTTCACTGATTATTTTGAAGGTATATACAAAGATTCTACAACCACATGGACAAAAGAGGTAAAAAAAACTCAGGCAGGAGGTCCCTAAGTTATTTCAATGTACAAGCATTCTGTGTTTCCCATGATTACAGACAGGAAGGAAATTTGCATTGTAATTACATGTGTGCTTCTTAGAGACAAAGGGAACGACCCTCTCACAGTGGTGGTGAGCAGAGCCTGTCTTATGTGCTATGCACATAGGAAACACAGTACCTTCCCATGACCTAAAGAGCCTCCACAAAATGACCACTGATAGTTTATACTATGAAAGCTGGAAAACTTAGATTAAGTCCTATGAAAAAACCTTAGTTTGAGAAAAAATATTAAGTAGAGGAGGCAAATAAATAATATGTCACCAGTGAGCTCCAAATGAATCCTTTACCCCCGAATCTGACTGTGAGATTGCAACATTCAGACTCTCTAACTCAGAAGTCTGCAGAGAAGATAGGAGCTCATGTGAGCTCAAGGGTCCAGGGTTCCAGGGTTTATTGTCCTACTGTCATGCTCTGGGGAGATTAATGGAGACTCTTCCATAAATGTTTTGGGTATACCAAAGAAATGGCTTGTCGGGCTGGAGAGATGGCTTAGCGGTTAAGAGCATCGCCTGCTTTTCCAAAGGTCCTGAGTTCAGTTCCCAGCAACCACATCGTGACTCACAACCATCTGTAATGAGGTCTGGTGCCCTCTTCTGGCCTTCAGGCATACACACAGAAAGAATATTATATACATAATAAATAAATAAATATTTTTTTTAAAAAAGAAATGACTTGCCACCAAACCTTTGTATAAAGAAGCCAGGCAGCATGCCAGGCAGGACCCTGGTTGGTGACCAGCGCTGTAATTCTTCTCTTCATTGTCTTCAGATCATACTTCTCGCTAGCTTCAGCTGTCAAGTTGACATAATCAAAAATTTCAACTGGGGGGATTGCCTCCAACAAATTGCCCCACAGGCATGTCTGTGGGGTGTTTTCTTGATCACTAATTGATTCAGGAGGTCCCAGCCCACTATGGGTGTTTGGGATCCTGGGCTGCATAAGAAAGCTGGCTGAGTAGAAGATAGGGAGTAAGCCAGTAAGCAGCATTCTGTCTTGGTTTCTGTCTCAACTAAATCCATCATTGGGCTTTCTTTCCTGATGAACTCAGCCTATAAGATGGCATAAACCTTTTCCTTCAGCATTTGCTTTTGATCAGAATGTTTTATCACAGCAAAATGTTGCATGAATAATAAAAACCCAGAGACAGAAATTAGGGTGCAACCTGAAGGTCAGAAAAGCAAAACAGCCAACCACTGGCTCTTATCTCTACCTCCATCCGAAATCGCGATCCTGCCTCCAAGAATCTCAGAATGAGACTGACTGAGAGCTGTCTCCTCCCATCTTATATTCCTCTCTAGTTCTGGGATAAAGGGCGCGCACTGCTACTACCCAGTTTCTATGGCAACCTAGCATGGCTACCTGGATTAAAGGTGTGTGGCACCACTGCCTGGTCTATAAGGCTGACCAGGGTGGCTGTTTTACTCTCTGAACTTCAGGCAAGCTTTATTTATTAAAAATACAAATGAAATAGTGCTACAACAATAATGCAGCCTAGAACAATCCTTGCCCGCAAGGGTGGTTCCATTTTCCCTGTACACCAAGTGGAGTCTCCTCTAAAGAAGAATAGCACAAGTGGTAAGCAAGTTGGGAAACTGCTGCTTGGCAGACTTTTGAGCTGGAGCCATGACTCCGAGGTCAGGAGCACTTGTTATACGATCATGAGTCCCAAAGTTTGGATCCCAGCTTCTTTGTTACAAACAGGTGTCCTGCACACCTTGTCAATACCAGCTACAAGGAGCCCAGAAACAGGGAGGGTCACTGGGGCTTTCGGGCTTCCAGCCTTGCACAGAGGCCTAAACTCCAAGTTCAGGGAGAGACTCTGCCTCAAAGAATAAATGGAGAGTAGCAGAGGAAGACACCTGACTCCCTTCTAGTCTCTGCACTAGCACAGATTGTCACTCTCAAATGAGCTCTCTCTCTCTCTCTCTCTCTCTCTCTCTCTCTCTCTCTCTCTCTCTCACACACACACACACACACACACACACACACACACACACACACAAATAGGCCCTTTGAAAGAGAATGAACTATGAGATGACAGCAGATTCCATAGAAATTCTAAACAGCATTCATATCCTGTAGAGCATGAAGCAAGGTCTGTCTGCAAAATCATCAATTACTACACCTTAGACCCAAAAACCCTAAGAACTGTGTCATACACAATAACACTTGGTGTATGAATGTATGATAGCACCAAGAGGGAAGTAAACAGTTATTGCTTGTTTTGTTTGGATACAGGGTCCCACTATGTTTATGAGGCTAATCTAGCACTTGCAACATGGCCCAGACTGGCCTTGAAATCACCATCGCCCTGCCTCAGCTTCCTGACTATTGAGATTATAAGCATTTGCCACTATGCCTGGCTCTATCTTTAAATAAAACTTTTTAAGGAAATGAAACACATGTCTGCGTGCATGTGCACACGCACACACAGATATATTTATCTTTCTTATTTGCTCATTTATTTTTTATTTTTGCCACAGTGTTCACTGTTGACCCTAGCTGACCGGACACTTGCTGTATTTCTAGAGTGAAAAAAATGCAAGAGGACTAAGTTTCTTAGAGATGTGACATCCAAGTCACAGAGCTGGGGTAGTGCACAACATCCTCGCCAGCATCGTGTCTTTTTGCCTTTGCTCCAATTCTTCCATCAGGAAAGGGGCTGGCAATAGGCTAGGGCCAAGACTTGATTAAGCATTCTTCCTGTGAACAATTGGAGTGCTCTCCTAATGGTATAAAAATACAACAGAAGCATGTTAAAGACAGAAGGGTCAGGCACGGTAAGGCATTCTTTAGTTTATTGCCAGACATTGGTAGCGCACGCCTTTAAACCCAGCACTAGGGAGACAGAGGCAAGAAGATTATTGAGTTCAAGACCAGCCTGGTCTACAGAGTGAGTTCCAGGACATCTGGGCTACACAGAAACCCTGTCTTGAAAACAAACAAACAAAAACAGAAAGAAGAGTGAGTGAGACACAACCAAAAAACATCATGCACGCTTATGTTATGTCTTGAAATTTTCAGAGATGGTTTGAATGTTGAAGAGGCAATCTCTTGATATCTGTCTTCTCTTTGTTGCTAAGTGTCAGTGTGAAAAAAAATGGAACAATCTTTTCCAGAACCATGAGTCACCTCCCAAGCAAGGAAACAAACAATGAATGGCATTTCAAAGCGAAGATTTTAGGAAGCAGTGGTAAAGGGACCATTCTGAGAGAGCTGGCCGGTGTGAATCCTGACCCCCAAGGTTCACAGCCATGAGTGCGGGTCTCTGGCCAGCTGCATTTTGTATGGCTCCCCGAGAGAGTAATGATTACTGAGCTGGTAAGAGAGTCTGTGGGACTTTTCAGCCCTTTATTTTCACAATGCATGAGTTCGGGGAGGGGAGAATTCCCACAATCCGAGCCCTGTGGCTTTACTTACTTGGTAGTTTGTAAGAATCTACTTCTCTGAGGACAGTGGCATCTGTACAACTCCACCACGAAAGCCATGTTACACTGGTTAAACTGGTTCAATGGGTATGAACAAAATGTACAACTCCACCACGAAAGTGCCGTTACACTGGTTAAAACCGTGGTAAAAACCGGTTCAGTGAGCGTGAACAAGATGCTTGCGTTTCAGAGTCCTAATAGCCAATTAATGTATTTGATGGCATGAAATGAAAGATTCCACTCCACCTGGGCTCCACGTACCTGGCTGTTATGTTGTCTGGTCTAACTTTTATGTCTCAGGAAAGAAAGCAAGAGACATGGAGGGATCTTTGCCGATGGTGCTTCCGAACACCTTAAAGACACAAAGTCTTTTCTCCCGGCTGTGGTGTCCACTCCCCTGAGCCTGTGGGTAAACACACAGCGTTGGCAGTCTTCCATGGAAAATACAAGTCGTCACGCAGGAAGAAATGGGCCATTCCAGAGCTCCCACAGTCGCCGAAATGAAGAACTACCGCATGTTCTGTGTCACAGGGAAGGCGAGAAACGGGGAACAAGGTTCTTGTGAGTGGAACTTAAGTTAGCTGTGAAGGGTCTGACTGCTTGCTCTAAATGTATATTTTCTCCCAATTGTAAATAGGATTATGATTAGACCATGCAACTCTTCTCAACCCACAGAGATTTAAAGGCAGGTTCCCGTCTGAGGATTGCTCCCAGGGTCTGAACTATCAGATGTGAAGAACTGACACGGGTTCCTCAGTTTGACCAAGGTTTGGATTAGATAATTGCTAACGCCCTTTTCATCTCTGTATATGATTCCACTGATGACTGTCAACTTTTGTCTCCATTGTGCAAGATACCTGGCCAAAGAAACTAAAGGAACAAGAGGTCTATTTGACCTGCAATTCCACAGTGCTGGGAGCTATGAGGTACCTCATCAGATTGCACGAGCACACATGAGTGTACAAGCCTGGGGGCACATGCCCACATGTGTGCAAGCCTGATTTGACCTTAGGTCTCTTCCTCCATCACACTTCGCCTTAGATGAGCCCAGAACTCACATTTTTGCTGTTCTGAATACCCTGCTTCATTAGCAATGTACCAGGGTAACAGGCAGGCTGTCCTACCCACCTAGTGTTTACATGGGTGTTTACATGGGTGCTAAGGACCAAACACTGGTCCTCGTGCTCAGGTGTCAAGTGTTTTACATACTGAGCATCTCCCTAACTCAGAAAATAATTTTATGTGTATTTATTTAATCAATGGCAGTCCTAGAGCCTAGGACTTCTCTAGCCATGTGATTTTGACAAAGTTAACAGCATCAGTCAGAGATTCCCTCCTGTGGTGCGGGCCTCAGACCCAATCACAATGGTTGGTCACACCCATAAGAGTTTTGCTGTTACAAATGGGCTCATCTTTCCTGATGAGTTGGTGTTGTAGCTCATAGGGTCACAGCTAGGAAAGACCATTGACACCTTTTCTCTTTCTGCAGCTCGCCTTCTGATGCCAGCCAGCAGGGAGGAAGCTTCCAGCTCAATTCCAGTTCAGTTTTAGAAAGGAGCTTTAGACGCCAAAGTTCATATCTGTATCTCTAGCCCTTCCTACTTTAAAAAATAGTGTCCCTAACTCTTGAGTTACTTAGTCTCATTGCTGACATTTAAACATAAGGCTGATGCCTCAATATTTGGTTTGAATTGAGATATGTAAAAGTAAATGCTAGATACGCCCCTCCATTTTACACAGACATCATTAGATACCGAGTGTGTGTGCACTCAAGTGCTGCTTCCCTTTCCCACCCCTGCCCACACCGAGTCTGAGGTCAACAAGGTCCTGACCAGAAAATCTCAACTATCACTGTTTATTAGGATGGACGGATATTAGGTACTTTTCTCTGGTCCCTGTCCATCTCCCTTTCTTAGGCTTCCCTCATTGAGTGGCAGTCCGACTTTGTGTCCCTCAACAATAATATTGTTGAAGTTTTCTTTCTCTTCCTGTAAAGAAACATTTGGGACATCACATACACACATCTGTAAAATGCACATTTTTCAGGCTTTGGGCATCTATATCTAAGTAGAATAGGGGTGTCATCCCAACTCTGCAGAGACAAAGCCCAAACAAGACAATACAATGGTTATTTCTAAATAATGCAACAAACACCTCCATCTGAAGACCCTGTGTTTTGACTCCTTCTTTGGGCCTCCAAGGTTACCAACACATATGTGTGCATACAGACACCGACACATAAACAAAGAACTGTAAAATAAAATCTTAAAAAAAGATGGACTGGGCGTGGTGGTGCATGCCTATAGTCTCACCTACTCAGGAGACTGAGACAGGAGGATTGCTTGAATCCAGGAGTTCTGGGCTGCAGTGTGCTATGCTGATCAGGTGTCTGCACAAATTTGGCATCAATATGATGACCTCCTGGGAGCAGGGGACCACCAGGTTGCCTAAGGAGGGGTTAACCAGCCCAGGTTGAAAAAAAAAAAGAAAGAAAGAAAGACAGGCTGGTGAGATGGCTCCGTGGATAAAGGCACATTTTTTTACTTTTATCGTAAAGCCTGGGGACATAAGTTCCATGCTTGTGACACTCATGCTAGAAGGGAACAGAGACCTGCACTTTTTCTTCTGACCTCTCTACACACTCTTAGTAGTATGAGCATGTAAACACACACACACACACATACACCACACACACACACACACACACACACACACACACACGGCTTACAAACACCTCCTGTGTGACGGTGTGCTCCTAACTCCTTCCAGGCACAGCACTGAGCTATCCTAACTGGTTTTCCCTTCACCAAGTTCTGTTGGTGGGAAGTATTGCTTAATGCTCAGTTAAGGAAAGAAGCTCAACTTCCTCTGCTTCTCTGCTTCCAGTATGCCTACTTCCCATTCCACAACATTGGTTCAGTTCGGAGCATTCCCTAAGGAAGAAAGAGGAACCAAGGAAGATGTTCCCCTCTGTCTTGTCCTTAAGATACCTCTAGAGCCTGAGGATACATAAGTGTGTTAACTTCTGAAAGCAACAGAGTGGAATTCAACATGAAGCCTTTTAGGACTTGTTTAAAATTGTTTTGTCTATCGCTTCAATAAGATGTTTCATTTAATGTTTTCATGAGTGCCGCCTTAGCTGTATCAAATAAACATCCACAGAAAGCATTTAGCTTGTCTACGATCTAGTTATTCTCCCATTGTTTTGGGTGTGTGTGTGTGTGTGTTAGAGAGACAAAGAGAAAGAGAGATGGGGAGGGAGGGAAGGAGGGAGGGACGGAGGGAGGGAGGGAGGGAGGGAGGGAGGGAGGGAGGGAGGGAGGGAGGGAGGGACAAGGGAGGTATGTGGGTACACTCATGCCATGGCACATATGTGAAGGTTATTGGTTCTCTTCTTACCCTATGTGAAATCCAGGAATTGAACTCATGTCCTCAGGCAAGTGTGTGCCTTTACCTGCTGAGCCACCTAAGCTTAGTCAGCACACTGGTAACATTATTCAATACAAGCCAGGTCATACCACTTGTATCCTGGAAAGGCAGTGGGAAGCAGATAGCAACAAGTCACACTATTCAATGTTGCATGCATGCCACAGGCCCTAAGTTTTTCCTCATAATGAAATTATTCCCATCTTAGGGATGGGACTACCAAGCCCACATGCACACATTCAATCAACTTTATTGGTGATGACAATGCCTCTACTCTCCATGACTTCTTACTGATGAAAACTAGGCTCTCTGGTCTGTGGCATCATTCTTGGCAGTTAAGATTCCTGAAGACTATCACCTGGGGTGGAAATAATATTAATAGTTGTTCTATATTGCTGGAAAATGGGCAACACCAGCCCCACTAACTAAACATGCAATGAATAGCAACAACAACCTGAACCTGTCATTCAAACCATCCTTCTTTGTCTCTTGAAAGTTTTGTTTAAACAGCCCTCATCAAGATTGAGAGAAGCCTGGGCAGTTTTTGTGTTCAGCATAATTGTAGGTTTTAATTCTCAATCTTTAGAAACTTTTATAACTCTTTTTAAGAAGAGAGAAAGTTCTTAAATTCTAAATGCTATAGTTTGCTAAAAGACAAACTTAGGAATCCAAGAGAGATAATTTTTCTTCTTCCTCTCTTTTTCACCCACCTTGGAGAAACTAATATGGGAAAGATGCTACATTACAGTAAACTGAGAGAGACTAATGAACAACAGGATAGAAACTCACATTAAATTGCTATGTGGTGGTAGCTCATCTCACCCCTAGACTCACTGTACCCTCATTCTTGATGGAATTTTGCCCCAGATGTGGCAACAGTTGCTTTTTTCTGGCTTAGGGTTTTTTTTTAAAGATTTTATTTTTTAATTATGAGTGAGTGTGTACACTTGTTAGCGCGTCTGTCTGCTCATGTGAGCACAGCTGCTCACTGAAGCCAGAGGCACTGGATCCCTCTGTAGCAGGCATTGCCGGAGGTTGTGAGTCACCTTGCACAGGTGTTGGAACTAGATTTGGGTCCTCTGGAAGAGCAGTTCTCATTCTCAACAGATGAACTACATATCCAGCCCCTGTGCTTTTAAAAAGTTATATATACAGGACAATACCACCTGCCTCACAAATCCAGTCCCCCTCCCACATATACTATTGTTCCATTGTCTACTTCAATGTACGTTTTCAACTATCTTTCCCCCACATGGATCTGTGATTCTAGGGTCCTGACTTGTCATAAGAAGTATAAGAAATGTCAGTCATCACTTCTCATTTCTAGAATTATGTAAGCAGGAAAATAACGAGGAAGAAATGAATAAATGGGTTCGTACTGCCATCTGGTGACAATGATAGAAATATACAGACACATTCTGAGACCTCAAAACAAAATTACCAGGTAAGAGCAGAAGTTGGCACAGGTACATAATCCCTGCCCTCAGGAAGTGGAGGCAGAAAGATAGTAAGATGAAAACCAGCCTGGGCCAATCAACTAATAAGACATTCACTGTTTTAAATTATGTCAATAAATATTAAAGCTGGGTGTGGTTACTCATGCCTTTCGCCTAGTATTTGGGAGACACATGCAGGAACATTAGGAGTCAAGGTCACCCTCAGTAACACAGTGAATTTCAGGTCACCATAGACTACCTGGGACCCTCTCTCAATAAAATAGAAAAAAATAGAGAAAAGGAAGGGGGGAAGAAGAGAGGAAGGGAGGGAGGAGGGAAGGAGGAAAGAAAGGAGGAAGAAGGGAGGAACAGAGAGGGAAGGAAAGACAAGAAGAAAGGAGAGTGCTCAACAGTCTAATTAGAAAATGATGAGCACGTGGTTAAAGTTTGGCTCCCGCTGGGATTTGAGATGCTGTGGTTCACATGGTTCTTTTCTATGCCTTCAGGAGTGAAGTGGGGCCTCTAATGCTCATGCCCAAGAAATATACAAAATGCAAATATTGTTGTTTTGTTGTTGTTTGTTCTGTTTTTGTTTTTGTTCTTTTACTCTTTTGAGAGCCCACCACCCAACACCCAGTTAAATACATGGAGACTTAGT